AGGAGGCTGAGGCAGGAGAATCACTTGAGTCCAAGAGTTGGAGGTTGCTGTGAGCTAGGATGCCACGGCATTCTACTGCAGGGGACAAAGTGAGACTCTGTCTCAAAAAAAAAAAAAGAATGTAGTTAATGTAGAATGTAGTTAATGTAAAAAAAAGAATGTAGTTGCCTAGTTTTGAATGTCACGTAAACAGAAACTTAAAGCATTTATTCTTTTGTGACTGACATTTTAAAAATATCCTTATTAAGATATAATTTATATCTGCTATCAGTGTGTAAGTGTACGATTAGGGGGTGACTTGTTTGTTGTTGTATTTTTCAGATTCATTCGTGTTGCGTATAGCTCCAGTGGATTACTTTCTGTTTTCTTTAATATTCTGTTGTGTGACTGTGATATCATTTATTTAACCAATTCCACCATTCGTGGACATTTGGGTTGTTTCTGTGTTTTGGCTATTATCAACAATCAATTGTAGGTATTTTGGCTTCTATAGGCCACATTTTGTAGGGAATATACATAAGGGTGGAGTTTGCAGAGTCATAGGATAATGGTGAGCTGTTTTCCAAAGAGGCTGTTTCAGTGCAAGGGGATTTGCTAATCCGCTTATGTATTACACTGTCCTCTATGTATATTCCCCTTACACCTCACCAGATGTGAGCCACTGTGCCTGGCCAAAACTTTATTAATTCTAATATTTTATCTATAATGTCTTTTGTATTTTCTACATACACAATATTATCTGCTAATAAATGAGAGTTTCCTTTATATACATACCTTTATCTCTTTTCTTCTTTTTTTTTTTTTTGAGACAGAGTCTCACTATGTTGCCCTGGGTAGAGTGCTGTGGTCTCACAGGTCACAGCAACCTCAAACTCTTGGGCTTAAGCGATTCTCTTGCCTCAGCCTCCCAAGTAGCTGGGACTACAGACACTTGCCACAACACCCAGCTACTTTTTGGTTGGAGTTGTCATTGTTGTTTAGCAGGCCCAGCCAGGTTCTAACCTGCCTGCCCCATGTATGTGGCCTGAGCCCTAACCACTGAGCCACGGGAGCCAAGCCACCATTATCTCTTTTCCTTATCTTACAGTAACAATAAAATCTCTGGCACAAAGTTGAATTGAAGTGGTGATAGTGGGCTTCCTTGTCTAACTCTTAAACTGAAAGGGAAAGCTTTCCGTGTTTTGTTGTGCTTTATATAATTTTTAGATCTCCATTAGTAAATTAAGGCAGTTTACTTCTTTTTTTTTTTTTTTTTT